TTTTGAAAGAGCTATCGAATGATACCAAAATTGACCCCCCACCCCCACCCCTGTGGGTGGGGCGGGGGACAACTTTGGTATCATTCGATAGCTCTTTCAAAAATAGGAAATACGTATTTTTCCGTTTTCCGATCCACCCACAATTTCTCGGGATATTCAACCGTTCCGGGACTTTTAGACCACCCTGTATATCAGATTTGTAAATCAATTTTGTTCTTCCGATATTGCTTGTAGAACGCACCTTTCGGAGCTTACTGTCTCAACACTTTAAAGCACAGTATAAAAAGATTTAAACGCGTATGGTGGGATGTTATTCATATACCACTTTAAAAATTTCTGTGCAAGACAAATTTCTTTTTGTTGTAAAGTCCTGTGCCCCAAAGAGTTGATACGTCCTTGTCGATTTATCTGTTTTTTTTCCGAATGAGTCATTTTTCCCGAAGTTATCTGTATGTGATATTACGAATTTGTTTGTAATTGTTACGCAATTTTTAATTTTAACAATTGCAAAACTCGAAAATACTTTCATAAACATGTTTTAATTTTCCTTCCTTTGGGAAATTCAATGTTAAATAATTAATATAAAATATATATATTTTATTATAATATATATATTATAATTAAAATAATAAAATGCATCGTTGCGCGATAGAAAAATTAAGTAACCAACGTGCATAATTTTTCGCTGATAAATTTTGAAGATAAATGAATGGATAAAAGCGTAAAATGCTGGAAAGTTGCGAATTGTGTAAATAGTCGACCTCTGTAGAACATTGCAAGAACTGCGCGCTCGAGGAGCGAACGGTAATTTCATTGTGCAATGATAAATAACAAAATTACAGATAACAATAGAATAAAATAATGATAGTCTATCTTTATCCATAAATATAAAGAGCTTGTTAAAAGCCGTTTAAAAATTATATTTTTTAAACGCGTTGACGTCTGTAAACGTTTTTAATTACGAACTTAACAAAAATATAGATTTCAGAAATTAAAATAAGTATAGTGTACTTGTATAATAAAGCAATGAGTGAATAATATTTCACAAAAATAATTGTTACGCAATCGATGAAATCAGTCGAGGTTTATAATAAACGTGACGTAAATAAATAGCGGCAGAAAATGGCATCGGATGCATTTTAGAAGACTGTTGTAACGGTCGAGCGCGATGTAGCGATTGAGAAATAAGCTAAAAGAGATCTCGAAATCTCTGACGTTTATATAATTCAGTGACGAAGGGTTGATAAAGTAATCTCTAACCGCGTTACGCGAGTAAGCGGGTACGTCTTGGAACGCAACGCTAACCGGGGAACCGGTTTTATCAATTTACATCGTTCGGTAAAAGTAAACCGTACATACCTGTACGAAGTGCACAGGATATTCTCTAATCGTCTCGTTAAGCGCATTAGCAATTTCTCTTCGTGGCATCCCAATCGCGTTGAAGAGACTCATTAAGCCGCGCGGATCTTCCTCGCGCGCGCTTAAATCTCCCGGTCACGAATTAATATGCGTTAAGAAAGGCTTAGCTGTGTTTCGAAGCTCAGCTTTATCTTGCCGATAAAGAAAATTAAGAATTAAATATCACGCACGTAACACTTTCTTGACGTTAATATAAGACTTCGTTTACCGTAAGGACGCGCACTAACACAAGCGTACTCTGCGAAATATGCGGATTATGTATATCGGAGATGATCACGATACATAAATTGTAAAATAATAGAAAAGAATGTTTATTAGGGATTATTTAATTTTGCAAATATTAGAAAGGCTTTAAAAAAGAAGTCAATTTGTATGTCAGATATATCTGAACATTCTGTCAGCGTTTCGATAAATCTATCGTGATACCGTTTACGTTTTTTCTCTTTTTTTTTTACGTTTGTGGTCGACAACGAGACATTGGTGATGTATGAGAGAGAGAGGGGGGGGGGGAGAGAGAGAGAGGGAGATGGAGAAAAGAATACGAGAGAGAAAGACAAAAAATACGTTGCTAAAACCGAGATGAACGACGAATGGTGAACGTACGGTACGCCGCGTCGTACCGTTTTGGTGGCATAGTCGTTAGTCCCTCTCTCTTGACATGACTCAGTGCCGGCTTAAAGCCAGGCACTTGCAACAAGACTTCGCTAAGATAAGATGTCGTCGGAGAGAGAAGAACTCGATAATGTTTGCATAAATTTGGACGCGAAAACAAAAATCTGCCGTCAAAAAGGAATTCGCGGTGCGACTGGAATAGCGTGCAACAACTTTTAAAAATATACGTACGTGTAGACTAAAGGAAAGCGGAATTAAAGAGTGTTGCGTATAGAAAAGTCTAAATTTTCAAGTATACTCGGATCTCTCGAGGTAGGAGTCAGCAAGTGCGGACGTTTACGTGATACAATATTCACAGAGTAGACAGTATAATCCATAGATACGTTATTTATAATATATTCTAATTAATAACGTGTTCTCTCTATAACAATAAGTTGAGGTGTTCTATTTTATTTATCGCAAACGTCACTCTTGGGTTGTTTCTGAACTGTTAGAAATTGTTCTGGCTGTTTATCAAACGAACGAAAAGAAAATAATTTTTCAAGGTAAGTTTTAATTTGTAATTTTGACGTGTATGGAACTGTTTTAAATTTACTAAATCATAAAAAGAGATCAATTTTGAATGACAATAGCTGCCAATGCCTGTCTAAATTACCTGTCGCTGTAGTTATGTAATATTTGAATAGATTTTCGATTTTCAGAAATAGATTTTATATTTTATCAGGGCATTGAATTTTCCACGATACACGTACGATTCATATTCGTGATTTTAATAATAATCCAAAGTCAATATGAATATCTTCTAATGATTCTCTAAGAATAGTCTATATATAATACTATATGTATATAATCTTTAGTAATAATATATTCTCATCAATAATGTATTCTCTTGTTCGTAGAACTAGAGTTTCACTCTAGTAAACTGTTATTTAACTTTCACTCAGTTAAATGCCGACTATTAGTTTACACATATCAAATATCCTATGTACGTAACGAAATGCAACTTAAAGTCGTTTAGCCTGACATTTCTATTTCGTATTTAGAATAAATACACGCTCAGATATCGATGGGAAAAGTGTCGAGTTATAAGAAGACGCGAAGCAACCGAGAATCTCAAAACTTATTGAACATCGAAGAGACGTCCATCTTCTTTGTTAAATACACATACCTATCGAGAAGAAGAAGGAAGTGAAAAATAGAACGTGTCCGGACGAAAACAAAAGTAAAAGGATTCTCTCTCTACCAAAGAATCCCGAAAAACATGTTGTTCCCTCGTTGCAGAATATAATAAATTACTTCCACGGCGCACTTTTTTTCCCCCTCCACAAGTAATTTTCAAGTTACGTACCGCCACGGTACCCGCGAGGTCATTGCTAAATATCCTCGGTGCAAGACGCGCGTCTCCCGCGATCGGTTTACGCTTTTGCAGTACCTGCATGCCCGCCGAGTAGCGCGGCTCGCCAGTACCAGCTCGCGTACTACCAGCGAGTGACTACGTGCCTGAGCTGGTCTCACGGCCGAGGGCCTTTCAACTCGGCCCGTATTTCTCGTACAGTCTCTCGCAAGGTGTGGTTCCCGACGCTGTCAACGGAAGTATGCCGCCGCGAGATCAACAAGTGCCGCGCGAGATCCACGTCCGGCGAGCGATCGAGCCAGCGCGTCGCTAGTCCCGGGTTCAATTTAATAAGAATCCTCCGCGTTGCGCGTTCAAAGGCAACGACAGCTGCGCGTTTTTCGGCGTCTCTCGGCCGACCGCGTGGAGAGGAACGATCGGGGTCCGCACGGCCGCAAGGACGCGCCCGTGGTAGCGTCGAAGGACTACGATCGAGCGAGGCGCGATCGATGGACGACGCCGTCTCTGGGTGAACTTTAGTGCGCGCGTGGTACCGCCGCGGCGCCGGCACACGTGACCCTCCTCGAATTTGTTTGGCGCGAGTTACATCGTGGTGAACCGCCCGCCACCGGTGGAGGATCTGCGTCCGCGATGGAAATGAGGACCGGTGAGTGCTTGCATGGCGCGCTGGCCAATTTTTCCACGCGAATTTCAGCGAGACGGTGAGACGCCGCCGGCGACTCCGTCGAGAAACGTTCGGGATCATAAGAGCCCCACGACGGGGAATTCTATTTTCAGTTTTTATTACTTTGAATTTACGCTCTAAGTGACGGCAATTAATTTCAAATAACGTTAGGACGCGGGGAAACTGGCGGTTTCGTTTGTTAAAAATGTTGCCGCGAGCGAGCGAGATATAGCGTGAACGCGAATTTGTTTCTTCCTGGGTAATTGACCGTTCGGAATCGAGGAAAAAGCAGGTATGTGACCCGGCTGTTTAACAAGTTATATGCTCTCGGGGTACTACCTTTTCTAAAAGCATGCTGGCGCGCTATCGGCGATCTTTTCGCAGCATATTTCAACATTGGTAAACAATTGGGTCACACAACGTTTTCGTTCAACGAGCCAGAGATGAGACCAACTTCGAAACTGACGGTTCTCTATTATTCTAACCAGTTTCCGAAACCGGCGCACCGTCTGGTAGTTGACGAATAATCTTCCTGCCGAAAAATGCTTTCCATTTTCTGCTTTACGTTTACCGATCGCGTCCTTTAAAAAAGTCTCGCGACTAAAATAAAAAAAGAAACTTTTTTTATGCGCAGTAAGTGAAAAAGAGTAACCAAATTCACTTCATATTAACGTCCACTCGAGGAGAAAATCCTATCTCGATATTCGAAATGTTAAGTGCGGTAAGATGAAATCTTTATGGAGATCTTTCAAGTTTTTTTATTCTCAGTCTAAATAAGGATTCCTTTAAAATACAACGTTATATTTATACAGTTATTGCCTGCGAAACCAATATTCTCTCAGCTAGTATCCGTGGCTGTCAGGACACAAAAGTTCATCGATTGCAATGAAAATTATTTTTAACTGTATTTTTAGGCGAGAGTACTTTATCGCGCGATGACCTGCGTCGAACTGCACAAGATGCAATGTAAATTGGAAGACGACTAGGAAGATGAATGTTGAACCAAAATAAACAGGGATTTTATTTTTAAATTTGCGAAACGGCGTTACGGAGTGCTTGCACGAGATTCAGAAGTTTAGCCGCTTCCTGCCCATTTCCGAGAATAAACGTGACGATGATTCAGATCTCTTTTCCGCTGCGCAGAGATTAATCTTATAAGCAGCTAATAGAATTGTATTTTCATTTATCCCCTCAGTTGCAATAATTGGTTACTTTAGTCATACAGTTAATTGTTTTTTAATTTTAGATAAATTTGAAGGGAATATCGTTCTTCCTACAAACAGACAAATGAGTTTGAAACATATTATTCCTAATCCTTTCTGTTTAATAAGAATACGCGTAAGCCAGTCAATAAAAATATTGGCATTATATTCTGTTTTGAAAAAGAAATGTGACGGATCTCGCCGAATTTTATGTATCACGTTGAAAATAATGTCGAAATGCATAAATCGGTTATTTTCTTATACGTAAAAACGAACGCGGGCGAGTTGACCAGTCAGCTTTTCTTTAATCCGAGCCATTGTGCGCCGTGGACGGTGGGAGCGTGCGATTCCTCGCAACGATAAGCGCAAGATCGAGTGGACTCGCGGGATCCTAGATCCCTTCGATCGCTCTAGGGTTGATTTCACCGACGTCGATTAACTTTAATCGCGGGGCAATGGGTTCCTCTCTGTGCCTTCTCCCGCATACAAAGATATAATCCCGGAAAAGGTACAGAGACAATTGAATTACAGGTAAAGTTAATCGACTTTGGAGAAATCGTCCCGCTCTTTTCGACGATATTTCATTATACCGATCGCTATTCCTTATTCTAGTGCAACACGGATAATCCATGCGATGATTCACTGGTTTTACCGCGAGAATAAGTCACCTTTATTAACTAACTGAATTATTACGAATTATAATAAGAGACAAGGAGTCACGCTAATAGCTTACTTCGGTTACTAATAGTTGCTCTTAATTATAATTTCAAATAGCCGTAGCTCATTCCGTAGACATACAAGGAAATATTATTCCGTGACAATTTCCGCATTGCTAATTTTCTTACAACTCTCGGATAGAGCGCGAACGAACACCATGAAATCTTATTATTACGCAGATAACGCTATTGAAATTTTCCATTTTTCCGTCGTTGAACTCGTAGATAAGCAGTTAATTGAAAATAAACTGTTTACTAAAAAGTGGGTCTTCCTACGCGCATTTTTCCAAAGACACTTTCGCGAAACGTGGATTTAAGTCTGGTTGGAAAAATAAGCTGTTCGATTGCCGGGACATTGCTAGAAACGATAAAGAAAATTGGACACGAGAGTAATGTATGTCGTGATATCCATCTTTAGACATTGATTGCTGTAACCGGTTGACTCAACCTGCGCGTAAGACAAAGCGAAACAATCGGAGCAAGATCGATGAGCTGAGGAGTGCGCTGTGCTCATTAAAGAGGAGGCCGTTAGGAATAATTGCGGCGGCGATGAATGGCGTTTTCCCTGAATTCTTACTCGGTGGTCCCGGGCTTACGTAACCGATAAAATAATTTGCGGTCCGGCGCACCGACGCGAGAGTAATGCTCGACGTGGAAATTCTAGGACAGCGGGACGACGTAACCATGGCGATGCGTTCACCAAACACGGAAGACGAGGGCACGATACTTTGTTTGCCTGATGACATTCGGAGCGGCGGAGACTTGCAAGTTGCACGAATACAATTAAATGTATCTCATTCGAAGAAACATGTCGTGAATACCTAGTTACTCGGCGACGCGGTACGCGTCCAACTTAAAAAGAACTCGGGGGCTGAAACGCCACGTCTTTGTTACGGCTCGCAAACGCCAGTCCATTATGCATGAAAAGAAATAAACACGGTGTCTGTCTGAGAATAAATAGAGGCTAAATTTGAAAATAATAAATTGAGAAAAGAAACAGATGAATAAGTGATGCAAAAGCGCTCCGGCGTGTGCGCGCGTGTGAGATACTGTTCTGTCGATACATTTCTAACGCATTCCATTTTACGCTAATTTGACACTTTATAATACGAAAACAATCATTTTTTAGAAGCTTCTCGCATTACGGAATGAAAACGCAATCAAATTAAGAGGCACTTAAATATTAGGGTGCGCCCGGGCGCATAATTAGTACACTTTTGTGATCGTTGGTAATGAATTATCTCTAATTTAGACCGTGTACTTTTTAACAGCTGTCTATATTATATTGTTACAGTATATGTTATATAATATTACGAGCCAGTCGAGTTTTTGCACAACATAATGTAATCTCGAACTGATAGTTTAATGGTAACTTACTAAGCAAACTAAACGCACGACTACGCGAAAGTGCATCGTGTGAAGTTCACATTATGTAACAAAAGAGAAATACGCTACTGAGAAGATCGCACTTCGAATATACATCGCCCAGACGTCGTCGCACAATTGTTTTCATTGCAGTCGTAGACAGCGACAATAAAGGCAAAAAAAAAAGAATAAAATTAACGAGAAATACTGATAAGATATATCGCAGTTACAGAACTGTCATCATCGACCGTCGCGACCACCGTTTTTACGCGCAGTCATTATAGTTAATGACAAATTCCACTTGAGTGATAAATAAAATTGACTTTTTGCACTAAATAAAAAAAAAACTTTGTAAATATTGACATCGCACCTGTAAACAAAATAAGCGAAGCGACAAATAATTTTTTGTTCTAATTAAAATCGTTTGAAAAAATTCATTTCAATTGTATTTGAGCACAAGCGCGATATCGATCCTTTTCACAAAGGTGAGAAACCCCAACGTATTTTCCAAGCGCGCGCCAATGTATTTTCTAACTTTATTGCATTTTCTTTTTTAAGTCCGAACCCGAGTGTTTCTTGTTATAGGATTAACATACCGACGCCACGTTAACGTATCGATAGCGCGAGGGGTCGGCGGCAATATAAGAAATTCGCATCATGATCCTTTTTTGTGCGCAGCAATCGAATCGACATTTGGCGTTTCTGTGTACATCGCGTCGGGAATTTCCTGTGCGCTCACACAAAGGACCACGCAGGAAGAAAATGTAGTCAACCTGCGGTAGATCTGTGTGCATGCGCGCTCTGCGTACGTGTCAACGAGTTGTACGTGCCGCGCCGTGCGCGTATGTGTGCGCTTGACGCCGCGGATGAGTCACACGCGCGCGGCAAACCGCGAAACGAAGCCTTGTGCTCGTTCTCTACTGTACAATGGAATAATGATATATGATAATGCCAGGCACGCACGTGATTATCACGATCTTAATTCCCCGCCGATCTGTCAGAAACGAGACTCCGGTGACACTAGATTTTTATCCGCGGAATCGTCACGGGTTTTTGCACCTGAAAAAAAGAACCAATCGCCCTGATTTCTCGGCGCGTACGTGCAACCGGTGTAGGTGTCTGTGTAGGTGTACTACGTGTTTGCAAATCGCGGACTCTGTCTCGGAGAAATACACTCATCCGCGATGTATCGATCTCGGGCTGAGCCGCGGCGTGTGTGCCTCAAGTCATCCACGATTGCTACATTGTCCAGATAATTGCATTCTTTGCAAATGCCTCTCTCAATTATCGATTTTCGCGTCCACGTGTCGTTTATTGTGACGTGAATATGGACGTTGAAGTGGGAAATAAGTAACAGGGGGCCAATATCACGTACTTGTATCTGTAATTGATTTTACATACTCGTATCGTAAACGAGGTTTGTTTGAACCAGTAACATTGTCGTGCAAAGAATACAGAAGAATCTAGAATATCATTAACGAAATCTCTATCGGTCCGATAATTTCTTTTGTACGACCGCGCGATTGACTAACAAGTAGAGAACTTGATATCGTTTTCGCTGCATCACGTTATTGTGTAAATACATTTTATTTTTAGACGTAGCGTGAGAGTTGTGCGTTATGCGCGAAAGCTCGTTGCGAAGACACGCCGTGCAAATTATACTTTAAAATAGTCATCTCTGTTACTATAATAGCTACTGCAATATTATATAAGTACGCTAGTACGCTGATTAACTGCGATTCTCCAATCTTCGTTAAGAATCTTCATCTCAAGTCGTCGCGAGGATCTTCCTCGCAGTTATTACGTATCGCTTTAAATCATCGTTGAAAAGTCGCCGCCAAATTCCTTCATGAATGAACCGAGCCGGGGCGCTTCACAACGTGACCGGCCAATCATCCGTAATTTCTTGCGACAAATTTACACCGACACACATCGCGGGCGGCTCAATTCTAATTCGGAGCGTGTGTGCACGCGCGTGTGCGACATGTCGTTGTTGTGAAAGAGTGCAAAACAGTTAACGGTGGATCGACCTTACCTCGAATGTGCACATTTTGCAATTACTGGGATTCGTGGTCGCCGCGCAAAGAACGCGCGTTTTATTGCTGACTAAAGTGCCATTTAACTTCCTAATAAGATACAATCTTGCGGAAGTACGCACGAAAATATTGTAACGGCACTTTCGTGAAGTGCAATTGATTATTATTATTATTTTTCTGCACGGTATTTGAAATAGATTGCTTGATTGTGACCGAATGGATTTTATTTGAATTTAGATATCGGCCTAATTTTTTTTTCCATCCTATTACGTTCCCTTTCCTTTCATTATTTCTCCATGAAATTTACGCAAAATTGGAGCATTGTTGCCTGCTGGAATTGTAATTTCAGACAATAACTGCGAATGTGTTAACAGCGAATATGTAACGTAAAGCAGCCGTGACGCGATGTTGCTTCGATATTTATACAAGAAAACGTTGCTGCAGCCAGGCATCGCCGTGGCTGCGTGGCATTTCAATGGCGAGGGTCAGTCGGCGTTACATAACGGGCAGGCATGGGGAATATTTCAGCAGTGGCGGGGCGTTTAGGAATGCGCGGACTAAGAATCTCGTAAGGAGTAAAACTCCCAGAGGGTGAAAGTCAGTTCTTTCAGGCGTGGGCCGTGCACAAGCGAGCGCGCTCGTTTCTTCGAGTCATTCACTTCTCGCGCCTCCACTTGCTCGCTCATTAGTGTCTCAATAACGACTCCTATTATCTCGATCCACTCACATGATTGAGCAATTAACAATTAACTTGCACTTTAACGTATCATACAAAAATTGTCAACGGTTTATCGCCCGGCCTCTCCAATTTATCTCACCAATTATCGTTACAATGCCGCATATCGGAAGTACAGATATAGTTTTCTTTTCCTGCGTTTAGATATTTAGGTCAGACGTGTGGACGTGCGGTTATCTTTCGTTGGAAAAGAATTGATGATCTGTATCTTTTAAGAAAATTCTAAGCAATTATTGATAATTATCGGAACGCGTAGATCTACTTGTGCCACGATCACTGCACCAGCACGTGGATGGATATCGAAGGAAGTGTTTAAGAACGTGTGAATATAGCTTGGGCATCCTTGTAGGTCGCGGCTTGTTTATTCGAATAAAATTATACGATCGTACGTAAATGAAACTAGACGAGTCATTATCTTCACAATTTCTGATCGTTCAGCAATTACTAATGCAAATGCGGTTGTTGAAATCGAAATTTACACATGAGATTACATGCAAGCAGGGGAATAAGACGTGCATTATGGATAAGCGACATCGAATTGCTGCCAGATGCACATTTCTGTTTACGTCATACCGAATAAATTCAACATCGACGCGAACGGAGAATATTAAACGCAGCGCGTATCGCCCGCATATGTGTTTAAACAAGTGTGCCCTTCCATTTAGGTATTTTCCGACTGTGTCGTTATTTCTCGCGGGGGAATAATCGTGATATCGGAATCCGCTCTTTTACGATTGTTGATTTTACGTCAAAGTTGATCGCGAGTCTAACGATGAGAGTAATTTATGTAGTTGAGCAGCCACGAGTAACTGTCAAGTAATAATTAATCAAAAGGTATTTACGCACGAATATTATATCAGCGTAGGACGTTCCAAAAAAGACTAGCCGTCTTCTTAATGGCAAATTTTTTAGTTAGCAATTTAAAGGCAATTTTTTATCAACAGAAATGTTATAAGTGCACACAAAAGTATCGTGTTATTTGCGTTTATTCTCTCTAACTGTTGCGGGTCTGGTTTCGTTATAGAAATGCCCAAGACGTTGCTGCTTCTGGTCATCGGCTTGCTCGTAAGGGTGCTGGGATTACCCAATGGGGCACCGCCGGAGACATGCTCGCATCTGACGCCGCGCCACCCCGACAGCACCCTGCAATCGTCGTATCCGCCCTATCAGCTACTACCCGCAGCGGGACAGGGCAGGGTCCGTCTGATCCTCGGCAGTCCCGAAGGTCTTGCGTATCAGGGTTTCATGATCGTCGCTAAGGACATCGACACCGGCGAATACGTGGGAGAATTCATAAACCTGCCCGATTCCGCACGAATCGTGGAATGCACCCCAGGTCTAAAGGTACTCACCGGACATCGTAATTATTTTTATCTCCCGTTTCTCTACTCCGGAAAAGAAAAAGACATGTTAGCAACCCATTTTGGGGCCGACAATTAGTAATAGAATTGTTTGGATCGTTCGTTCTAATCTTTTACAAGTTTTACCCCGCGTAACTAAAAATCGCAATTAGCTCTTCTATCTATATCCAAGATTTTTAAGTAATACTAATCAATTCTCTCAATTAGTTCTGTCGATATTCAGTAACGCAAAGATAATTTTCACTTAAGAGGCACTAACCGAAATGTTAAGTTACTTAACTACAAAAAAAAGGTTAAAATTTTTCCTAGAATAGAGTTACGAATAATTAAAATAATTCGATTACTAATTGAGAGCCTTAAAATGTGTCGCGCTGTTTTTTTTCTTCCAGAATATGTAGCTACGTTGTAAATCAAACCGAGGATTTATACGCGAAATGTTGCAAATTTATGAACAATGAATAACCAACAAGTCGAATGCAAAAGTATTTCGATTCGCTTTATGCAGAATTAGCACATATTTTACTTTTTCGAGTTTTCGACGGATCTTTTCAATTCTTCTCTTGAAGAGGACAATGAATTGTTGCATTCAATTTTTCATTTCTAAATATTATATAAAATTACAATTGTAACAACTGTTATTTTTAACTGTTATACTCCACAGCGTTAATTTCACGATTTTACGATTCTCGGTAATATGACGTATCGACGCGCTCTATCTTTTATCAACTGACCTTTTTATCCTGATTTCTTCAAGGTTGAATCATTTATCGAGACTCTTTCGCAAACGTGAATGATGTGCAATTTCTTATGGAAACTTTTCCTGTTTCTTGTGCCTAGAACGGCGTGACTCATAGAAGCACCGACAAGAAACAGAATCTTGAATTCGATTGGGAGGCCCCAGTTGATTACGAAGGTACCATTATCTTCAAGTAAGTATCGTTGCACAATAATGACACTTTAATGACAATCGCAAAATCTAACAAAGGATTTCATTGAATTAAGCAAATTCTGAGTGAGTTTTGCGCTCAGGGGAATTTCTGTATCTCGATATAATACAGAAACAAATTTATTGACGATTTCTGAAATATTCCATATTTGAACAATGAATATATTCAAAATTCGCGTGCCGTATGTACGTCGTCCAACTTGTGTTCCACAAAAACAGTTTATTGTTTTATTAAATTAAATTATATAAAAATTGTACAGTTACGGTTTTGTTATAATTAATATCTCGTGAATCTAAAAAATATACATAACAATGTAATGCAATAATGTAATAAGGGAAGATGAGATAAAGTGATTAGCGTATCGGCACATTTAAACGCAAAGCAGACAACTACTGTCATTGAAAGTGCAGCTGTTGATGATAAGGGAGAAAGTGGTCCGTCGAAGAGCAATCGGTAAAGTTGGAGAGTGTTGATTAACTCATCAAGTTGCAATTAGAGGCTGCCAATATACTGATGTGTGTGCGCGTGTGTATATTCATGTGTGAATAGTGCTAACAAATCGTTTAGCAACGTAGTTAAATATTGAGTTTCGGTCATTAACTGACTAAACATTTTTGTGGTGGCATTTTCTTATTTAATATATTTGAGTACTAATCACCGTGACAGGTATATGTCAATCATTGTGACATGAATACCAATCGCTGTGATTTTTCTTATTTTACTTTGAGCGGGATATATTCCATCCTTCCGACATGGCTATTTCCGTAGCGTAGAATCTTGCCTAATCTTTACGAAAAGAACGAGAAAAGTTCCGCGAGTGTCAAATTTGCACCAAGAGACTCAAAATAAAAACGTATCTTAAAACTGCCAATTGGCAAATTCTCTAAATCGAAACCTAAAGCGCAAACGAGTGATTTGTCACAGTTTTACTTCACTCGTGTGATTAATTAATATATCTACAACAGCTACGCTCCGATAAATAATACAGCTATTATTTGTCGAATTCGAAGATTCATCGCCGCGTCGAATGCCGCGCCAGGAGCGTAGTAAGAGCGTGTTATTTCCGCGAGCTTGCGAAACTGCAAAGTTTCTGAATACCTATAAAATTTAGAACAAGAAACACCACAGCTTCTGGGAACTGCCTAATTGTTGAGTCATGATTTCAACGTCTGATCTCAACCGCTGCGCGCATCCACACGCACACGCAGATCCGCGCGTACGCTATAGCGCGGAGGTGCTAGCATATCACACTTATGAATCACAATTAGGCATTACCGTACGCGCGGATGCGGCTCGTGCTTGGAATTCAACGCGCTCGTGCGGGCATAACGGTGCGAGAAACGCGCGCAACATTCCTTATAAACTTTTCCTCATGATAATCGATGCGGAGTTACTAATGCATGTTTAATAGTACGCGCAGCTGCGCCCCCCTCCACCCCCTGTTAAAACTTCGTAACTTATTTCGAGAGTTTTATTTGGTTTTTACGGTACCGTTTGGGAATTCCTCGCTTTTGTATTCTGATATTTATATTTCGCCGCGACCAATATTAACGGAAAAGCGATAAAGAGGATTTACGTGCAAGTACTTTTAACACGTTTAACGTCAAGTTCTCGCAGCGAGAGGGAGAATTTCGATGTGCTCTAATAGCCCTGCATGAATAGAGGGACTCTCACTGCTAATAAATGTCAAGAGTTTCATAATCTTATTGTATAATGTCGGCAACTTCTACGCAAAAGGGATGAGATTCAAAAAGCCGATTAAAGATATTATATATTTTATGACGTCGCGCGTTTTTAATTTTCCAAACTCGGAAATTGGCTGTATAATCGTCTGTGTTTTTGTGCCCGGTTGTTTCTGGCCATCCATTGTAATTTTTATGAGAGACAATCGGAAATGAGAAAAAATGGGACTCTTACTACAAGACATAATGAAACTCTCATTAAGATATATTACAGGGTATCCTCCTATATCACATCGAGCATTTAGCACCCCGCTATATTCCAGTATGTTACAAATAGAAGAGGACGCAGAAATTTAAACACTATTTCGTGAAAGTTAGACGATGTTTAAGTTTCAGAAAAATAAATTTCTCCCAATTCGCTTTAAATCGCGCGCACAAGGTTTTTTATTTATTTATGTAATTAACCCATTTTCGCTCCAAAAGCGCGCGGTGTGCGTTTCATATAAATAAAATTTCTTTCATCATAATTTCGTTACAAATGTAATTGATGTACGTTAATTAGGAACGTTCTCTGTTATTCATACATTTTTGTCCGTAATTTCGAGTTTCAGGATCCAGAGGTATTTCAAGGTTTACGACACTGAACTAAATCATAAATCCAGATCTGACTCTTTCGGGACTATGCTAAATGAATGCGAAAGCGTCTTACGATTCTTTAACAATCAATATGAAAACGAATAAACGTGTGCGCGTGAAGTGGACATACACGAATACAAAGGTTTATGCTCTTTCGTCATAATATCTAACGTATCGTGAAAATGTTGCTGCAACATTGGCTTCGTATATCCCGAAACAATTTTCTTCTCTTCCGCCATGCTCGTTGAATCCTTCGCCGTGTGTTTTCATCGTCGACCTCCGTTTCTTCTGCAGCTCCACCTTCGCTCAGGATTACAGCACGTACTGGGTCGGCGTGGAGTCGCCCAGAGTTACCGTTGACAAGCGGTCCATCAGGGTATCGACCCCACCTACACCCATCACTACCTTCAGGACCACCACGCCGCCCTACTACAGCCGCACCGTCAGTTACGCGGTGAGTATTATATTTCCTGTCGCGCGCGCCGTCACCATTATAAGGTAAATGCGCGTGGTGGTATTACAGCGTGTTAAACGATGTAAGCGGCCTGCGAGTCCCGATAGGTGTGGCTTTGCGAATATTGCTCGTAGGATGCACGGCGGCCGACCCGGACGCCGAGTACAGAGGATTCTCGTTAATTGCACATTCAAAGTACTTGCCCAGCTTGCGTTCGTCGCGCGCAGAATATTCCAAAATCCATCTGGAACGCCACTCCCGCGATTCTTTTTTTTCCCCCCCGCCGTTTCCCACCTGCTATCGAATGTTACCTTTACGAAAATATCGGGCATCTATAATTTCAAGTTATTACCGATAAAAAGTAAAGGACGTACTCCCGCGGCAAATTGTATTTCACAGAGGAAATATTGGAATTTTCAGTTAATAATAGTTTGAGTAAACTTCGATTTCAAGTTCGGTTATTATATATAAAAATAGCTAATATCGCAAGATTCTTTCTATGAGAAAATATTGATACAGAATTTATTGAATTTCCTTTCGCAAATCGAAATGTTATTCGCTTATTTCGACGCACTCTGCATCCCGAGTGGTGACAAATGTTCGAGAGGAAACCGAGTAGATTGGATCTTTCTAATAGGCGCGACTTTATTACGTCTTTTCTGCCAACGATACTCCGGGGAAAAGAAGACAGCAGCACATTTTGGGGCCCATAATTAGTAATCGAATTATTGGAATCGCAATTAGCTATTCTAACTAAATTCGAGATTTTTAAGTAGTGCTAATCAATTCTCTCAATTAGTTCTGTCGATATTCAGTAACGCAAAGATAATTTTCACTCGAAAGGCACTAACCGAAATGTTAAGTTGCTTAACTACAAAAAGAAAACGGTCAAAATTTTTCCCAGAGTACGAACAATCCAAATAATTCGATTACTAATTGTGGGCCCCAAAACAGGTTGTTAACTGTCTTTTTTCCCCCAGAGTAGTTAATACACATTACACAAGAAATCTGCTTGTCAGGGTCTACCCAGACAAACTTGCAGAGGTGTGTAAGCATATGCATAAAGAAATTGATTGGTTAATTTCTTTACGCGTGCACTTATGGCCCAATCAGATTCCTTATGCGTATAATGTTCATGCACTATGCAAGTTTGTTCTGGATAGACCCTTAATTTTCTACGAAGAGATCTATAAAAGTTTACGAAAATACCCGAACGATCGTAACTTGCTCTCAAATGAATTGTTTCATTATATTATGATGGCGCGGATTAAAACGGGCGCCGAGTTAAAATTATACATTTCAATTCTCATTCGCATAGGTGGATTGTAATAATACTGTAATTAATGAAAATTGTCAGTTCAACGTGTATTATATTCGCAGGATAAATAAGTAATTGTATCCATCGTTTCGTATTGAATGGGAAATAAAATAGCGCACTCATAAATCTGCGTTTTACAGTTTCGCGGAATTCACGTTCAATTAAAATATGCTTATATATTCACACATCTACGAGCAATGAACGTCGCTTGTAACGTAAAATGTATGATTAATTAGAGCGCAGCGTCATGCTTTAATGCAAATTCTATTAATAGTCAAGAATAAAAAGACACATTAAGCGATTCTGTATCCCCTTTCCGCTTTTATCGTTCCTACGAATAAAAGTTTCAATTAATGCGGTGAAGAGTGTGTCTTCGCGTTATATCACGTTTAAGCTCTCATTTTTCGCGTCATATACACCTAATTCTGGTCGGTCCAGGGCTATCGTAGAAAGTAAAAAATTGGAGAGGCGAATATAGCGGCGCGTGACGCACGGATACATGAATTATGCATCTCTACGTATGTACATACATGCACGGCCCTTAACCGTGTACAACAAACGTATAACACGCGACCGCAGCCAACGTTCTGGAATTTATGCTTTATGCACTTTCACCGTTCTCTTCCGCGGCCGTTCGCGATTTCGTGTCGCGGATTTTTTATAGCTGGCTATTTGTTTCCCACGGGTTCGATCTTTATCGCGCGCGTTCGGGCATCGCCCAGGTAGAACAGTCGGGGATCTATCGGACGACGTAGATAAAATGGAGGGACACTCCGGATTTCGGGGAGAGAAAGGTGGAAAAGGATAGGTCGCATTAAGCATCTTGAGCAACACGCTTAGTGCATTATATTTTTCCAAATTCCTCTCTGGCGCGGAAGTTCTGCAAGCCCCGCATCGCTTGCGTACAGTTCAGTAGATTCGCTGCGGTTTATCTTTTTTTTATTCTGTTGTATTTTCGTTCCAACTTCGCAAATATATTTTTTCACTTTACAAAAATAATATAATGCACGTAAAAATATAGAAACATCGTAGGAATCGGTGAATTCAATATTTATTCTAAGTCTTTTGCATTTAAAACTTGCTTAGGAAGAGATGAATATTGCAGCACCCGTATAGGAGGTGCGACCACAGAGCAGGGTTAATCCTTAATGTATGAAATTGGAATTTATAAAAAACCTGAGAGAGAAATCTGAGAGAAACTTGGGAGAAATCTTACCGGAGTTCGCGCAGTATTTGAAAAAAAAAACGCAGGAATAAAATCTTCAAATACTCGGGGGGGGGGGGGAAAGCTATATGTCCAATTTTATCTAATTGTATAAAAAAATGTCAGATATGATAAAATTTTACCAGATTATATCCAAAGTTTAACGCATCCGTTTATAAGTATATCAAATCAGATGTGGTCAGATGTGGTCAGATGTTTATACCGTTTTATCTGACTATATCTGATCACATCTGATTTGATATACTTATAAATGGATGCGTTAAAATTTGGACATAGTCTGATCAAATTTGATCATATCTGACATTTTTTATACGATTGGATAAAATTGGATATATGGCCTTTTTCCCCGGGTACCCAAATTCGAATTCAAGTAGTTGCGGTTATTATCAGTCTCTCTTTCATTTTGTATTTTTTTTCCAGTCTATTAAGCTTGCTAACTGAAAATCTCGGATGTAACTCGTAATACGTGCATTTATATATTACGTAAGCTTCCCAAAGATATCACAATATGTAGAATCCACTCGCATATCTCGAGGATGAGATGATCAGGCGGAAGCAGCTCTATCGATCGCTTCTTCTGTTCAATTTCTATAAATTGTCAGGCTCCTCCGCGCAAAACTTGGCGATTCAGAATCTCTTGATCGCTGTTGCGAGAACACTTTCCGCCGGGAATGAATTGAGAATACTTTCCCGTTGAAAATGAATTGCTTTTTGACTTAGTTAAACAATACGTACGACAGGTTCATTGAATAATTACATCCTGCCGTGCGGACGGGCGGCCTTTCCTTGAAAACGGCGCTCGATCGTTCGCGATAAAAAGCGTAAAAGTACACCAAAGAGCGGTAATGGCGAACGAGGCCGCCGGAGCGTGAACGCACGATTTCGCGGAGCGTATCTAAGTTGAAGGCTGGTCGTCAAACTTCTCTTTCTCCCGCCGCAGATTTCCTTTTCGTTCGGCTCTGAGCTACGCTCCCGCGAATTGTTGCGCACGATTTGCTCCATAAGGTCTCCTTTATTAGGATTCCTTGCTGATTCATACATACCTCAACTTTATAACGGGCAATTGCGTTAAATATTTCTTCAGATAAGATTATTCGGGTATTAAATATTTATCTAGATAATTATGTTTATTTTCTTTCGTAGGAGTAATTTATGAGAGAAAGAGATGTCACAATTTCATCAAAATTTCTGTGGTATATGCAACATTTAATCCAGATACTTCACAAACATCTGATGCCTTGGAATCGGAGACGGATACAAATATCCATCATTTGTTTTTATACCACAGTGTGTATGAAAATTCTTATTTCACTTTAAAGCGAACGAAAGATAATGTCAGAGGTAATATGCAAAATATATTAATAACATCATTATTATACAATAATTATCCAACTTATCATTGTATAATTATCGATTGCCGTTCAGCGACATCCCGTTCAAAATTTGTCGCAGAATCTCACGTTTCTAATTATTTTTTTACGCGCAGCTTTATTTACAGCATCCTTCGCGGAGATTAATATCGCTGTTACTATATCGCGAGGATATTCGTGAATTAAATCTTGTTAAATTTTTTCGTCTGATCTCTCTTCCACGTTCAATTATACTTTCATATTTATGTCAGAGATATTCTAACTCGATACCTTTGTGCTCGATAACCATTATAATAACATGCTCCATTGCGTTGTGAAATGAATGTCTTCTTATTCTTACGACAAGAGCAATCCTACGCGCAAACGTTTAATATTCGCGCCGTTGTCGTAACCAATCGGTATCCTTGCGTCATAGGCAAGTGCTAATGCAGCGATAACTATTTTAATTCCACACTGTACAATATTATCACGTTTCGTTTGTACTTGATAACGCAGAGCTCAATCTTCGTCGCTTGCACGAAATTACGTAAACGTTTATACTAGCGTAACAATATTTGTACTTTTAGTTTCTCGGGATACCACTGGTGACTTGCCCAAATAGTTTCCGGTATGCGCAAATTACTTTGCGTTCGCAATAAATGATACTCTCCCTTTAAGGGGATGCTGGAGTGGTTTGATTTACCGACAGAGTCGCATACAGTTTTTGGAGGTTTGTAAAGAAACGTAACCTCAATATGTCATATTATAGATACAAACGAAAATAATTATGTAGCATTTATGTACAAACTAATACCAGACCCAAGTGTAGAATGCATAGTAGAACATTTTCATATAAAAACCATTAAGGTTTGAAGTCTAATTCGTATCGCATTATGTATTGCAATATTTGTAATACATAATGCGATACGAATTAGACTTCAAATCTCAATGTTTTTTATATGAAAATGTTCAACTATGCATTATACACTTGGGTCTGGTATTAGTTTGTACATAAATGCAAATAATAAGATTTACAAACGCAAAAACAGTATCCGACTCTGTCGGTAAATCAAACCCCTTAAGGGGATGCTGGAGTGGTTTGATTTACCGACAGAGTCGCATACAGTTTTTGGAGGTTTGTAAAGAAACGTAACCTCAATATGTCATATTATAGATACAAACGAAAATAATTATGTAGCATTTATGTACAAACTAATACCAGACCCAAGTGTAGAATGCATAGTAGAACATTTTCATATAAAAAACATTAAGGTTTGAAGTCTAATTCGTATCGC